GAGTGCTGGCTGCTGTGTCGGGAGCAGGCGTGGTTCTCTTTCCTGCAGTGGATCGGGGCCCAGCCCACCTCCCGGCACTTCAGCGATGGCTGCTGGGTGTATAACTTGGTATTTTTAAGGATCTCTTTATCCCTAATGTATTAAAATGTCAAAATGCTATAGCTTGGTGTGGACTGTTTTTTATGTTTTACATTTTTAGGCACTACATAGATCAATTTAGACACAGGTCCTCCAGGTCTGAGAAATTTTATTTCTTTGAAAATTTCCACCTATTTACAGGTGTTTTTGGATGTCTTATACTTCCTACTTCCTCCTAAAATCTTCCATCTTTTCTTCTTTCAATTGTTGTTCTGTTTATTTTGGTTATAATTTCCAAAGCTTTTTCATAGTATCCTGTTTTTATTTTATGAATAATACCTTTCCTTATCTAAGGATACTAATGTATTATTTTCTCTGCATTATTTTCCCTTAAAGGTGGTTTTCCTATTCATATTTGCTAATATTTAAATTTGTTTGCGATGCTAGTTGGAAACTGTATACATGTGTAAACTTATAGGAACATTTACTAGCTGGTATGCTTTCCTGTATGTAGATGTGGCCATTTCTGCTGTAGAAGCCACATATCTTTTAATGTGATTGCTGTTAGTTGCTTGTCGTCTTTGGAGAAATGTCTAGGTTCTTTGCCTAATTGTGAATTTAAAAAAATTTTTATAGTTATTTTGTAATATGGAATAGTTCTGGGTATACAACAGGCATGAGAATGGGTGTTATTAGTGTGATATGAAGATGTAAGAAACCTTGGGAAAAGATTCTATTTTAGTTTAGAAATGTTGCCACTTTATAATGTTAAAGAAGCACTGATGGGCTAAACTTGTGAACATAATCATTACTTTAGAACACTACTTAAATATTAAAAAGCCCTATCTTATGATCCTCTAATTTAAAAAACAGACTTCTTGGTATTTAATTCATATATAAGCCTAGGAATATTTATATAGCAACATTTAAACTTGGAAAGTATGTGAATTGCGATAATGGATTACAGAAAAACATATTAATACTTTTAATTGTGCATTTAATATTTTTACTTAGCAACAATTGATACACATAAATCATTGAGGGATATTATAAAAATACATATGATACAGAGCTAAAGGACCAATTCTTAATCATAAATGACAAAAACATGAAAACAAAGCTGTTATCTACAGTTATAGAGGGTCAAAGAAAATAAAGCATAGTATGTGCTAATGACTGATAATAACTACAGTACTCTCCAAGAGTATTACTTGGTGTAAATTTCACAAAGTTTTTTATTTTTAAAGTAATCAATTTACTTAATCCATATAAAATTGATAAACTTCTAGATTCTAAATTTTTGGAAAAAAAATTGTAAGACCAAGTTTAGATAACCTGTACTATAGGTATATAATGTAATTTATGTATTTTAAAATATGACACAGTTTTAAAGTATATCTAAGATTTGGGCTGGGGATTTAGCTCAGTGGTGCTGCCACCAGCCTCTCAAGCATAAGGTCCCGAGTTCAATCCACAGTACAAAAAGAAAAAAAAAAAAGTTAAAGTATATTTAAGGTTAGTTTTGAAGTCCTACATTCTATAGTATCTATAAATAGTCCACAGTGAAGAAAGCACACTATCCTCTAAAGGCAAGCACAAACAAAGCTTTCACTAAGCTGAAACTAAAGTGCAGCTTTCCATTTCTTGTCAGGGTCCATGTTGCTAACTGTGGAAGAAAATCAAGAGTTTAGTGAAAGGTAAGTAAATCCACTGGATTTTAAGTTATAACTAGGAAAATCTTTCATTATTAAAATAATTTCATTATAATGTATAATTTTGCTATATCTAATTTTACTGTGTCTTTGTGAACATATTGATGAAGTTTCTACATAAAATTTAAACTTTGAAGAATGCTTTAAGGATCAAACTTCTGTGAGTGTAAACTTTATTACTATAAAAAATTAACATTGGTAAATATTACAAAAATATTGCTTTAGTATGTACTAAACAGTAGTTTAGTACTGCTTAAAACCTCTATCTATTCCCTAATCTTTCTTTTCCTTTAGTATCTACTAAATAGTAGTTTAGTACTGTTTAAAACCTCTATCTATTCCCTAATCTTTTTTTTTTTTTTTTTTTTTTTTTTTTTTTTTTTTTTTCTTTTTTTTTTTTTTTCTTTTTTTTTTTTTTTCTTTTTTTTTTTTTTTGAGACAGGGTCTCACTATGTAGTTCAGACTGCCCTGGAACTCACTATGTAGCCCAGGCTGGTCTTGAACTCACAGTGATCCTCATATGCACCACCATACCCAGCTTCCCCTAATCTTTCATATGTGGAATTTTTCATGGTGGGTCTTGGAGTCTGGGAGAACAGATGCTCATGTTCCGAGGCATGCCTTTGAGTGTCACTCTGGTGGGTGAGAATGGTGGGTGACTGGAAACCTATGAGAGAATCCTGTGGGGGTTTATGGTTCCAATTTGTGGTCCCCTGGCCATGTGTGGCCAATCTTCCTACTGCTTGTCCCCCAAGGATATTCAAGGGAGAACTCTGATGGGTGCTTCTTTCTTTAATAGGAAACTCGTGTACCAAGTATTTTACATGCTGGTAGTAAAAAAATTAAAATTTGGAAGTACACTTACATATTTTTCCTTCTTTTTCTAGTTTTTTCAAATGAAGGAAAACATTACGTTCAGCTTTTTTATGTAAATTCTCAGGAACATTCTAAAGGAAAAACAGGGTAAAAGAAAAAACATATTTCTTTAAAAAAGAACTAAATTTTTCGGAAGCCTTTATAGGAAAACAAAATACAATTAAGAGAAGTTTAACTTAAATTTTATTTATTTATTTATTTTTTTTGAGACAGGGTCTCGCTGTGTAGTTGAGACTGCCCTGGAACTCACTATGTAGCCCAGGCTGGTCTTGAACTCACAGCGATCCTCCTTCCTCAGCCTCCCGAGTGCTGGGATTACAGGTGTGCACCACCATACCCAGCACTTAAATATATTTTAACACAGTTACAACCTATAAAAAATTTACTTTGTAAAATTTTACTTGTAAAATTGTGGTGCTTTAGGACATTATATGGCTATATATTTTTATAGATAAACTAGATTAAGTTCTATAACAATAGCAGTGTTTTCAGTGCTCTGCATAATGGTACATTGTAATAATCCATTAATATTCTATAAATGAATAAATAAATGTAATTATTCTCAGTTTTTGAACAGATAGTTGGCCCTATAGTTTATTTACTAGGTTACAGGTTAATATCCTGGTATTTTTTGAGACAGAGTCATACTATGTAATTCAGGTTGGCCTTAAATTCACTATGTAGTCTAGGCTGGCCTTGAACTCCTGACGATTCTCGTGCCTCAGCCTCCCGAGTGCTGGGATTATAGGCATGTACCACCATGCCCATATACAATTTTACTTCAGTTTTTCTAAAACAATGTAATATTGATAACTATTATCTGAATGGAAAACAAAGCAAATATTTTATTTTTGAAACAGGATTATAGTTCTGAAACCAAGCTTCTTGCCTAAATTCACTGTCTCTATTTCTCAAATGCCTGAAAGTATTTTGCCAAGATCACTAAATTACTTCAGTTAAAATTCCATGGATTCAGGTTGGGGGTTTAGCTCAGTGGTTTTGCTGCCTGCCTTGCAAGTGTAAGGACCCGAGTTTGGGGATTTAGCTCAGTGATTTTGCTGCCTGCCTTGCAAGTGTAAGGACCCGGGTTCCATCCCCGGTACAAAAAAGTTTTTTTTTCAGTGGATTCTTCTCAGTCCCATTGCACCTGAATTCTACTGGCTAGTAATTTCTCCCTTTTGAAGATCACTTTTCACTTGTTTATTCTACTCTCCTTGTCATTAATCTTCATCCTGGATATTCCTTATACTTCTCTTAAACATTGTTCACAAGAGCTGCATCATGGGCTCTCTCTCTTCACCAGCCAACTCACCGTGCCAGTGACATGGATTCCCAAATCTGAATCTACAGATTTGTGATTTTTCTAGATTTCATTATATGTGTTCCCAAGATCCTTAAATTACCATTCCTGAATTATTGGCTAAAGCCCACAATTTTAGCTGGCAGTGAAGACTTTCTGTGATCTGATCATGCTTCCTTTTCTTGCATTTTCTGGAGCTTTTTTGTCCAACCACATACGCAATCTGTGCTCCAGTTATATGTGGTTTGAGTTTCTAAACATGCAATGCTTCTTCATGGTATTACTTTTAGTGTTTGAATACATCTACCCCACTGTCTAGAATAACTTTTTCTCCTCTCTGCCAAGAAAACGGGTGATCCTTCTTCAAGGTTCAATTCAGTGGAGTAAATTTCTAAATGCTTTTTGTACTTTATTATCTTTCACCTTTACTACATAGAACTGATTTCTATTTTTGTGCTTTGACAAACTAAGTATAGGACCTGGAGGAAGTTCGAGAGAGAAGGTAAAAAAAAAAAAAAAACCCACAAGGGTTGAATATTTAAAATGCTCTAAAATTTGGAACCTTTTGCAGATGTTCAAATGATTTCAGAATTTGGAACATTGTGGATTAGGGATGCTGAACCTGGATAAGCCATTCAGGATAGTATCTGACATGTAGATGTGAGTTCAATAAATGGACATTATTAAAATACAGCCCACATTTCAAGTATGTATTGAACATGTATGTCTTCATTAAACTATGACTCCTTTAAAGGCAGAGATCTGTAGCTCCTTTGTATATATGTATGTCAAAATATTCAATAAATGCTCAGTGAATAAATCCCTTTAGACCTAATGCCATCTGGTATGCATCAAGTGTTCTGTATACTTCTGGACACACACTGAATACCTATGGATGCAGATTTAGCATTTATTAGGCATGGGCAGTTACTTCACCGCTCATCTGTGAGGATTATGAGAATTTTACTATTTGTACACAGGTTAGAAAAAAAAAAGCCTTGATGTACCAATGCTCTAGTATTGTGAGCTGTTTCATGCAACTTAAATATTTACATGACTTTTTGGGGGAGTGATTTGAGACAGGGTCTTGCTCTGTAATTCGGGCTGCCCTTGAACTTACTACTTAGCCTAGCCTGACCTCTTACTTGTGGCAATCCTCTTGCCTCAGCCTCCCCAGTGCTGGGATTACAGATGTGTGCCACTACGTCTGGCTACATTACTTTTTTGCCAATGATTTATATTTTTGTGGTAGTGTGGATGGAACCAAGGGCCCTGAGTAGGTTACACAAATGCTTTGCCACTGAGCTGCACCCCTAGCTCCAGATAATGACATTTTACAGATGTTTTAATCATTCATCCTTCTCTTTTAAAACAAAGCATGTGGAGTATACTTTAACTGTTTCTTGATGACTGAAACCTATGGGACATTAAGGTCCTTTATGCATTGAGGCCCCATACGATCTTCCTAAACTTATCTTTAGTAACAATCTCATGTAATTTATAGCTATACAAGTTGTAGCAGTGGGACTTTTTAAACTCATGAAATCTTATTACAAAATCTAAATTCTTAGCTAAAAATTTATTACTAACAATACAACAAATACCTAATAAACATTTGCTGAAAAACTCAGTACCACATAGTGCTACTGTACTGTAATGTGGTCAAAGGCCACACTCAGAAGTGTGAGACTCCTTCCCTATATTTGAAATTACTCATGTTCTTTGATGAGTAGTTTCTCGTTGCCATTAACCCAATGTCTGTCTCCAGCAAATCACTTGGGCTCACTTTCTGTAGGCTAGCACACCAGATACTCAAGATGTTATTATAAAACTGTGGGCAGCAGTTTCTCCTGTATAGTGAAGTACTTCAAAATTTAAGTAAGCCTCAGGGTAGTTAATTTTGTTCTCAATGGACAGTTTTTTTTTTTTTTTAACTTTAGTACTATAGAACATTAAACTGCCGGTCTCAATTCTAGACAAGAGACATAAAATGTTGACAGATGAATTCTGATTTGGGATGTGGTACATGTACAGTCTATTGAGTAAATTATTTATTCTAATAAATTTGTGACCATGTACCAGTAAGATAAGTAAAACTCACCTTGTATAAAATTTTTACAAGCTCCGTTTTTGTAAATGATTTTTCAAAATTGTCACGAATGAATGTAAGAATTTGTTCCTCTCGGTAATTTCTGTGAGAAATATATTGTTGAATTGCAGCTTCTGCATTTTGGATTACTGGGCCATGTCCTGAATAGGAATAATTACACAAATTTCTTCAACCAGATAAAATAATTAAGTACAAAGTTAATTCACTCTATTTAAAAATAATTCATATGCTATATCGAAAAAAGCATACTAAATACACACATGAATTATTTAGAAAGCTATACAGTTCTAAAATTTAAAATTTATCTACAGTACCATAAAAACCTTAGAGAACTATACAAAATAAAATCTATATAAATATATTGTATATATTAAAGTAGACTTTAATAACACATAGCAATAAAATCAGCAACCACAACCATAGGTACTATTTACAGAGAATTACATGCAAGCAGAGATCTTCATGCTTACTATTTTTACAAGGACCCTGAGGGATAGGCACTATTAAGCTGCTTTGATAGCAGTAACCTGCCTAGAGGGCGTGAAGCTGGGATTCTGACTGAGCACTTTTTTCTCTTGTCTTTTTTTCTTGTGTAAATGGGGATGGAACCCAGGGATGCTTTACTACTGAGCTACATGCTAGCCCTTTTTATTTTTTGGGACAAGGTCTTGCTAAGATGCCTAGGCTGGCCTTGAATTTGCCACAGCCTCTCATGTAGCTGGGATCACAGGTGTGGTCACCATATATGGTCCGACCTGCCTGTATTTAAGCAGTCTATGCTTTTAATCACTAGGTAAGCTTGACTGAAAAGGGGGAAAGCAAAAAGCAATTTCATGTAGGTAACTATGGTTATCAAAAATTCATAAGACCCACAGTAGAATTTTAAGTCTAGACTATTAATTCACAAATGTGACAACCCAGATTAAGTTATAATGAAATTTACTTACTCTTTAAAACAACTTAAATTAAAAAAAAACCAACATAAATTAATGCATTACACAAATCTGCAAGGGGAATATTTCACTTGAGAATATGATATCCAGAAGCGGGCTAACCTATCACATAAAGATTACTAGAATTTAGACTATCACTTATCAGCTGTGTAGGTGTAAGGAGGTGTCTGAGTTTCTCTGAGCCTGTTTCTTTAACCATGTAATGAGCATACCACTAGCTACTTCGGAGGGATTTTGTGAGGATGACAGGTATAAAGGACCTGCACAAAACACAATTCTAGATTTTGATATATGGTAGCGATGGGTATAGAGCATAATTTACGTGTCAACAGCTGCTGTGCTAACAAACCAGTTCACTGGGTTCACTCAAGCAAACAGAAGAACCTTTTGTAGGCAGCCTCTCATTGGCTACTGAACACCTATTTTCTATTTAAAAAGAGCTATGAGCATCTATTCCTTTTATGCCATAACTATCCAAACACCCCGCTCTACTATACCCTCAGCAGTAGGAATTCATGAAAGAAGGTAAGTATGTTGAAGACATCATTTTAATAGATTTTCTACAGTTGTTTGGTTAGGAGCAAATTTAGATGGAGTTAGAAAATCAAGTAACCTAGTCCCCTTTTCTATCTGGGCCTTCTTGTTAGATCCTGTGCCTTAGTTTCAAAGATGGAGAGGAGATTGATATTATAGGGCAGCACAGTGATATCTGAGACAATAACAAGTTTCTTTTCCTGAAGAATGTCAATAAAATTAACATTTTGTAGTTGTATGGAAACTTGATATTTCAATATTGTGAGTTAATAAACTAAATGTAGAGGTCAAATGTTGCCCAAAGTTGCAGAGAGCTAAGATGTATTTCTAACAGAAAGCAAGTTAAAATAATGGTAGCTTATGCAACAAAAATAGTTTCCTGTTCTGATGTAAGATTATTTCCTATGCTTAGCAGGTCTATCGACAGCTGTGCAGATGTTGAAAAATAATTCTTTATAAAGGTTATTTTCTAAAAATTTTATTCAATGTTTTAAAAAATGTTTTAATATGTCTGCAGTGCATAATGATTAGATTCATTATATAAAAGGTTATTCATATAACTCAGTTTTCTCTTTAAATTTAACTACATTGCTTGGCAAGACTTAGGGAATGTAACTTAAAGCAGTTTATACATAGTTCTTCAAGGCACAATATACACACAGAGATAAGTCAAAAGATAAGCCAACTTCATCATCATTTGACAAGAATGGTTTGCTAGAATACAAAAATTGCCCACCTGGATATATAATATTAGCTTTGACTTTCAGTAACAGGTTTAGGGAGTTCATATAATCATAGAGGTCTTCAAATATAGTTGTTCCTTCCCCTAGTATGCAATCCCCAGAAAAAATGGCATTTTCTTCTTCTAAGTGTAGAGCCATATGATCATCACTGTGGCCAGGTGTGTATATGACTCTGGTTGAAAAAAGAAATGAGAAGACCAGGGATTTAGCTCAGTGGTGCTGTCACTGCAACCTGCATTGCAAGTGCAAGGTCCAGAGTTCAATCCCCAGGACCAAAAAAAAAAAAAAAAAAAAAAAAAA